TACTGTTATTTCTATTACTGTTATTTCTATTACTGTTATTTCTATTACTGTTATTTCTATTACTGTTATTTCTATTACTGTTATTTCTATTACTGTTATTTCTATTACATAGGTTTTAGCACAGCTCCAGCACTTTTAGCCCAGCACCTCCACACCAGGTCTCCGAAGGTGTTGTTTAACATCCCCTGTTGGGGATTCCAAGGGTGGAAAAAAACCACCTTGTTGTGAAAATGTGCTCAGAACAAGACAGAACTGCTTGACAGAGCCAAGTCAAAACTACTCAGAAGCCTTGAAGATGTTCCAAGAAGGACAGAGATGATGATGATGAGGAGGAGGATGAAGGGGTGGGCGTTTTGGGACCACCAACTCAACTCTGGGAGGTGGGGCTGAAGGGATGGGACAGATGGTGTAACTAAGGAGGTGATGTCCAAATATTAGAATTAGATGGTGTTATAAAAATTGTACTGTGTGTGTGTGCAACACACCTTTGTGCACCAAAGTTACTACAGTTAAAGAGCTGTTTTCTACCTTTCTCTACTCAAAATTGCCCAGAGAATTATTTCTTCCATTTTAGGCAACAGACACCAGGGAGTGGAGGAAGGACAGGCCACCAGCACCACTAAACCCAGCACTGGGCTTCAAACACTCATTTCACCACAGCTGCACCTCAAACTCAAGGTTTGCACAAGGCAGCAGAGCAAGGAACTCCTCATCCTGGAGGGAGGGACAGCAGCCAAGCTGTCTCCCTGGGGCAGGGCTGATCCTTCACCCCACGAGCAGGAGGAGCCTCATGGAATCACAGGATGGTTTGGGTTGGAAGGGAATTTAAAGTTTATCCAGTTCCACGCCCTGCCATGGGTGAGAACCCACCATCCTGGTGCCCTGAAGGACCCCCTGGGACCCCATGTTGGTGCTTTGTCTTTGCTGCAGCACAGCTGGAGGTTTGTGTGTGTGCAGCTGAGGCTGCAGCTTTCCAGGCTCCCCGGATGCACAAGAGACATTAATTGGCACCAAAATCCAAGGAGGAGAGGTGTCAAAGGATCATGGAATCCCAGACTGGTTTGGGCTGGGAGGGACTTTAAAGTTCATCTCACTCCACCCCCTGCCATGGGCTGGGACACCTTCCATTATCCCAGGCTGCTCCAATCTCTGTCCAAGGACACTTCCAAGGACGGGCATCCACCACTTCTCCCTGTCCCGCCTCCTTTCCTGGCCTCGATGCTCCTTTCCTGGCCTCGTGGCTCCTCGCCACGTCCCTAAAACAAGTGCCACAACCTCCCTGGGTGGCACCACCACGCTGAGCACCCCCAAAGGCAGCAGGGTGGGCGAAGGGTGGCCCAGAGGGGGCCCCTTACCCGTGCAGTTCCTCTCCTCGGCGTCCAGAGCGAAGCCGTTGCCGCAGATGCACCGGAAGCTGCCGATGGTGTTCCGGCACGTGCCGTGAGTGCAGAGGCCGGAGAAGACCTTGCACTCGTTCACATCTGGGGGTGGAGATGAGCAGAGGTTCAGAGGGAAGGGGGTGTCTCTGAGCCCAGAGCCCCCGGGGCGGGCAGAGGGCAGCGAGGTGCTTTGCCCAGCTTTCCGCTCACCTTTGTAGAAGGGCCTCCCCGAGAGCACGTCCCCGCGGTTGGCGAAGCCGGGCCCGCGCGGGCAGATGGCCTTGAACTCGCCGGTGCCCGGCTTGGGGCACTCCTCGCAGTCGCTGCCCCAGGCCGAGCCCACGGAGCAGCA